CCAAATATAATGGGAGCTAATGGATTTATAGTTCATTTCTAATTAAAATTATAGGTTAAGTAACCTCAGAGTTCCAGCTTAGTAGAGACTTAATGATAAAAATAAATGAAAAAGTTAGTCTATTTTAAAAAATATGTAATTTAAGGTTATTAATTTAACTTTTAGATTAATTTGGCTATTAATATATGTTAAAAATTATTATTTTCGTAAGAAGAAATATTTAACTTTGAAACTTATAATCTCTCAAGATTCTTTTTTGATAATACTATATTTTATTTTAATGTACTTTTAAATTTCATATAAATCTAATCAAAGTCAAATTTAGTAATCATATAGCAATAATACTGATCAGTTTATATCATTAATGAGATTAAATCCCTTGAATAGGAATTGTTAAAAAATGTTGATTTTTTTATAGTGATATATTCCATTTGAATCAATTCATTCAACTATATTCATTTCAATTAAAGAAATTTAATGAAGAGTTTTGGTTCTAATCAAGGGATTTATGGTTAGATTTATTCTCAATAAGATTCACCTTTGAATTTAGAAAGAAGACCTTATTTGGAGCAGAAAATTTGAAATCATTTCCATGAGAGACATTAAGGGAATGCTGTTGATATGATCCAAAAATTAAAATATTATTCAATGGGAAAAATTTGAATCAAAAGGATTGTAGTTTTAGTGGATAAGAGAGTGATACATTTTTTGGATAAAGAAAGATAGATAGATAGATAATAATTATATCTAGAAAAATTTTGATAATTATGAATTTATCCCTAATTGGATGGAAAGTTGAAAAACATAAAATTACTGATGGGGAATAAATATGAAAAGAAGATATTTTATTTTATTGCTAATAAAATAATTAAGTAGATCAGAATTATAATAAATTGCTATTAATTTTATGACTTATAATGATTTTAAAAAAAGTAAAAATCAATTCTTGATATTTTTATTTCTAAAGTTGATCTTCTCATTAGTTGATGAGAATCAATTTTTGGTCCTTTTAGGTAAAAAACTTGTATCTCTTATTAAATGAAAAAAAGCACAATTTACCAAAGCTAAATCTATAACTTCATTTATATGTGTGACCTAAACAATATTAATGAATTCTTGAGCAATTATTTTTTATTTCCCTGAGAGTACCTGAAAAGCCATTTTGTCACAGATCTGAGCAACATATTTGATAATTTTTAAGAGTATCAAAATTGGCAGTTTCATTATGGACTGGCAAATTTTTTGATATCAATGTTAGAGGCTTACTTGAAGATTCTCCAGTCTTAGAAAGACATGATGATGAAACTTCACCACCTAAATAATCTGAAATCGTTTGAATCCATTAATCGGTTCATACTATGAAAAGACTCAAACAGGAAACGAGGAATGTGTTTATATTAATGTATGTAAAGCATATTAAGAAATACTTAATAAAAATAATCATAAATTAATCATATAAATTCTAGATTTTCACTAACCATTAAGATATGTTTTTATGAGGGTTAATCATGTATATATTAAATGTTGAAAAAGCTCTACTATTCTTAAATACTTTCCTTCAATTAACTAGAAATTCAATATTATCTCTAGACGATAATTAAAATGAAATGATATTTCTTTAGATTTAAATCATCTATTCGATACTAAATGGCATGCAAATTATAAAGATTTTCAATATTTAGCCCAAAACAATGATCACAAGACGAACTTCCTATAACATCTTCATTTTAGCAACTTTCAAACATATTAATCCTTTCCTCTTTAGCATACTGTCTAATTTACTGCTTCCTCTATCTTTTTTCCTTTTAGTATTCATCATTCTTTGTATTCTTATATCTTGCCTTCTTTTCCTAAGATTATTTATCTGGCTAACATGAAAATTTTTTGTATAAAAACTCCAATTAAAAAATACTTCATCATGGAAAATAAAATTAATATCAAATTAATTGTAATGAAAAAATATATTTATTACTTAATGAAAATGATTATTCAAAAACAAGATGTTTAATCTTTGTATCATTTCGATTTTTAGACTTATTAAATTATATTTTTTAGTCCATATTCATTAATCAAACGCTCTANCCAAATATAATGGGAGCTAATGGATTTATAGTTCATTTCTAATTAAAATTATAGGTTAAGTAACCTCAGAGTTCCAGCTTAGTAGAGACTTAATGATAAAAATAAATGAAAAAGTTAGTCTATTTTAAAAAATATGTAATTTAAGGTTATTAATTTAACTTTTAGATTAATTTGGCTATTAATATATGTTAAAAATTATTATTTTCGTAAGAAGAAATATTTAACTTTGAAACTTATAATCTCTCAAGATTCTTTTTTGATAATACTATATTTTATTTTAATGTACTTTTAAATTTCATATAAATCTAATCAAAGTCAAATTTAGTAATCATATAGCAATAATACTGATCAGTTTATATCATTAATGAGATTAAATCCCTTGAATAGGAATTGTTAAAAAATGTTGATTTTTTTATAGTGATATATTCCATTTGAATCAATTCATTCAACTATATTCATTTCAATTAAAGAAATTTAATGAAGAGTTTTGGTTCTAATCAAGGGATTTATGGTTAGATTTATTCTCAATAAGATTCACCTTTGAATTTAGAAAGAAGACCTTATTTGGAGCAGAAAATTTGAAATCATTTCCATGAGAGACATTAAGGGAATGCTGTTGATATGATCCAAAAATTAAAATATTATTCAATGGGAAAAATTTGAATCAAAAGGATTGTAGTTTTAGTGGATAAGAGAGTGATACATTTTTTGGATAAAGAAAGATAGATAGATAGATAATAATTATATCTAGAAAAATTTTGATAATTATGAATTTATCCCTAATTGGATGGAAAGTTGAAAAACATAAAATTACTGATGGGGAATAAATATGAAAAGA